GTTTTGCAGGGTTACATGAGGATTTATATAGGGTTATATAGGGTTTAGGGTTTAGGGAAATTCCCTGAACCTTAAACCTACAGGGTTATGTCGGGTTACATAAAGGTGTATACAGGGTTATATAGGGCTACAGGGTTATGTCGGGTTACTTAAGGGCTTATGTAGGGTTACGTAGTGTTTAGGGTTTAGGGAAATTCCCTGAACCCTAAACCAAGAGGGTTCTGTAGGGTTACATAAGAGGTATATGGGGTATATAGGGTTTAGGCTCTTAAGCTACAGGGTTATAAAGGGTTACACAAGGGTTACATTGGGTCAAGGCTCTAGGGTTCAGGGAAATCCTCTGAACCGTAAACCTATATCCCCTATCTAGTGCTTAGGACCCCCCCCACCCTGCAATAGTGGTATAATAAGAAATTAATAGGAGCCTACAAATAATAGGAGTCTACTAAAATCCTTCTTATCCCATATAGTTACTATTACTGGGTGGGGGGTCCACCTAGGATCTAGCACTCAAGGTTGGGCCTGGTTAAGGGCTTATAGTTTGGAGTGTGGTAGTTCAGTGTTTCTAGTTAAGGGTTTGAATGATATGGCTTCGGGTTTGGGATTCAGGTGTCCGGTGTGGAGGTCATGCCCATGCTTTGTAATATGTTTTGTTGGGACTTCCGCGTCTGAATCCTCATAAGTCTTTCTCGAAAGTCTAACAGAAGTACGAACGCCCAGGCAAGATAGTTCCCTCACAACTGGGAAGCCTTGAGAGAAATCCCTTATCTCTAAGTCCTGATGCTGTTGATCGGAGCCTTTGCTCAGGCTGTGTACAAATCTGAGCCAACGAGTACCTTGTGCAGCGAGGCCAGAGAAAAATCAAAGAGATGGTGTTGAGGGTAAAAGGTTTACTTGGACCCTGCAGAACCATTTCATATCATTATTGTCTTTATTGTTGCTCTGCTTACCATCACTACAATTATTGTTGGTGATTAGGGCTTACTTGGACCCTGCAGAACCTTCATTTTCTTCCTGTTATTACCCATTATTACTATTACTATTGCTGCTATACTTGCTGTTAATACTCATAATATTCTTTCTAGTAATAATGCAATTGTCCCTTTGTTCTAGGGGTGGAGGCATAAGCCCAAAAAAGGCACTCCGCAGGGTCCAGGCAGGGCGAGGGTTTGGGTTTTGGGTAACTTTTCAAGCTGGGAAGAAGGGTCTTGTATGTATCAAAACCGAACAACTTCCAGGCATCTAGGGATAACAGTATAGGGACTCCAGAGAAGCAGGTTTAGTTCTTTTTTGGGAGTCCCGATTGAAGAGTATGTACCCGACAAGCAAAAATTCTGGTATTTCCAACGCTTCAATCAGGACCCGTGATCTGGTTGGATGGTAGTTGTAGGCTCCTTTGCTGGCGATTGAGGACACGAAAAACTTGGGTTTCTAGTGCATCCGGGGGGGATTTCGTGAGCATACTCATAGCCCCCCATAAACAGTGTAATGGCACTTGCTATCCTGTCCAAAGCCCCCCTGATCTTAAACACAAAACCCTAAACACCCCTCCAAACAGGCCATTGCAGCTGCAGAGAAGGCCCACGAGGTCTTCCTCTCCGCTGGTGATTCGGCCCTCCGTGTGGAGTCTTGTGTGTGGCTGGCAAAGCTTCATGCCTGCCAATGCCGCGAGGAAGGCCATGGATCCGGAAGCCCCCCAAAACCCCAAACCCTAAACCCAAAATCCCAAACCCAAAATCCCTAACTCTAGAAATTCAAGCTTGCACCCTAGAACCTGCAGCCCTCATACCCCAAACCAGAAACCCTAAATACAACACCCTACCAGCCCAATATGCTCCCAAAACGTAGATGTGTGTCTATATATGCATACGCACAAGTCTGTAAATTTGTACCTGTCCACATACTCAGGTATATGTACATACATATTTATTCTATATAAATATGTATATGCATATGCAGATGAATTTGTATTTCTTCACACACACATAAGTATGTATGTATCTATCTATCTGTGTATGTTCGTCCACATGATCTTGCCAGACATGGGCCCAAATCCTCTTACACCCTAAGCCCTAAACCCCAAACCCCTAAACCTCAAACCCCTAAACCCTAAACCCCTAAACCCCTAAGCCCTAGACCCTAAACCTCCGTGACCAGGCTCCCAGCATGGGCAGCTCTCGAAGAAGGCCGCGGCTTTGGCGTTCCAAGCTGCTCAGCTTACTGGTACATAGGGTTATAGTCCCCCTTAAGTAGATAGGGCCTAGGGTTTAGGGTTATAGTGCCCCCTGAAGTAGATGGAATATATAGGGTTTAGGGTTATAGTCCCCCTTAAGTAGATGGAATATAGGGTTTAGGGTTTAGGGTTCTAGCCCCCCTTACGTAGATAGAATATGGGGTATATGGGGATCTTATTATAATATCCCCAAGGCTATATTCTATCTACTTGAATCTTATAGGCTTTCGGTTTTAGGGGTCAGGGTTTAGGGTTTATAGGAGCTTACCAGGGTGGTACGTACATGGGGTTGTAGAGGATGGGGACTGTAGTACAGGAATCTTTGCACCTATTACTCGGTAAGTGGGGAATGAGGGAACCTAAGTTGATTACTGCGTGGTTAGCTGCATGTTCTTTTGGGTTCAGGGACTCCAGATGAAGAAAATGGCAACTACCGCAATATTTAGGGTTTTGTTTTTTAGGGATTAGGTGCGCAGTAAGGTTTGGAAACTACTAGATTATCTGTGGTTTGGGTGTTTTAGTTTAGGGCGTAGGGGTACCGTAAGGTTGCGGACCTGGCTGCGAATGCGCGGGGAAGGGCGAGGGCCTGGTTAGCCCTGGCTGCCGCGGCTGTGGCAGAAGGCTCCCACATATCGGGGGATATAGGGATCACGCAGCATCAAATTGGGTTGTAAAGGGTTTATAAAGGGATCACAGAGTTTTACCTTCCAAACGGAGAAGGAAATGGAAGAGAAAGTGAAACATGAAACGGAAAGTAGGGTGATACCTAGGGTTTAGGGGTGGCCGAGGGGCTATCTGGGGTGTTTTGGGATGTATACAGACAGTACACGGAGATGCAGGTACCAGGGTGAGAAGGCTGGAGACATAGCCCATTGCTTCAGAAAGGGTAAGAAAGCGCTGCAGGCCCACCCGAAACCCTAAACCCTCAAGCCCATATAGACTTACCATTACTTGGGGTTCCCAAATTTCCTTAATCTTAAAATCTCAAAGTTTCAAAACCCCAAGCCCCAAGTAATGGTAGTAAACTCTAAGCCCTAAACCCTAAACCCTAAATCCCAAACCCCAAACCCTAAGCCCTAACCCCAAACCTTCTTAACTCCACAGGCCAAGACTGGCAGCCCATGGCCGACAAGGCCCTGGAGGCCTGTCAGGACCTGGCTGACGAGGAGCTGGAAGTCGAGGTGACTCTTTGGGGGTTTATTGGGGTTTAGGGTTGTATTGGGGTTTGGGGTTATATTGGGGTTTGGGGTTTAGGGTTTAGGGTTTACGGTTTTAGGGTTTTAGGGTTTAGGGTTTAGGGATTAGGGTTTACAGGAGGTTGTATTGGGGTTATATCAGGGTATATTGGGGTTATATTAAGGCTTTCTTGGGGTTATTTAGAGAGAATGGAAAAGAACATGGAAACTACTATAGCATATTGGGGTTATATTGGGGTTATATAGGGATAATGGAAAAGAAAATGGAAACTACTGTAGCATATTTGGGTTATATTGGGGTTTTATAGG